AACCCCCCTTGTGCCCCCCCCCCCCCCCCGGATGGCAGCCTGCGGCAAGTGCAGCCGGGCTGATGGCCAAGTTCTGTGATGTGCCGAGTGTGGGCACTCAGGGCAATCCAAGCCAGGACTGCTTTGCAAGCGAGGAACCCCTGAGAACTGTCCGTCCGGGGTGGGGGTCAGGTCCCTTTAAGCGCAGCCCTCGGCTAGCCTGAGACAGCATCTCCACGCACTAAGTCTTAATCTGATGCCCTGCCGGCACTGCTTCCGGCCATCCTTAACCTTGGTTCAGGGTCCACTCAGTGTGCACATGCTAGTTCAAATTAGCAAAACGCTAATTCGAACTGGTTTTTAAGTCTAGATGCGCTAATTCGAATTATCTTAGTTCGAATTAGTTAATTCGAACTAAGCTAAGTTAGTTTGAATTAGTGCTGTAGTGTTGACATACCCCCAATTCCTTCAGCCTTCCTTCATAGGTCATGTTCTCTAGATCTTTCATCGTTCTTGTTGCTTGTTGCCAAACAGGAACCCCCCTGTAACATCCATTTTTGCTTGTCTGGAGCATGCAGGGCACACAGAGCAGTAAAAGCCTTGAACAGAAGGCCCGGGCTGCCAGCTGTGATCCTGAATGGCTGTAAACAGAGATACGCCAATTGCTGACCAAGAGGCTGCCGAGGAGTGCCCTTGACTTAATCCATATTGATATGAAGCCACACTGTCCGTGGGGGGAGGAATCTCTCACCCAGTAAAAAAAATGTCTAGTACTCACAATTTAGTTATCTCTCTTGCAAGTGTAAATTAACTTGAAACTTGCTTGTAAGAACTGGCACCACAAACGGACCAGTACAATTTGGCATCTTAGATAAGAAAGAGGATACGGGCCCCAGGGGTATAAAGATGGGTCCAGCAGCACATTTACTCTGAGTGTCAATCTACCATCTATCTGCTGGTCGGGTTAGGTGTTTGATCTCCTGAGGTTCCAAGGGGACGCCCACCTCGTATTCGTCTTTCCTAGGAATTGAGGGACCGGCCCTGGCTTGACCCGCTGGAGTCGAGAGGCACAGAAAGGGGTAAAAATTGTACCTGGATGTGTCCTTTGTCTTAAGTGTACACATAGACTTAGAGCTCTTTAAAGATTAAGCTGTCACTTAGAAAATAGAAATAATGGCACCATCTTTATTTTCTTTGTAACCATTTTTAATATCTATATTTGTTAGCAGTTAAGGAATAGAGCAATAGCCATTGTAACCATATGATTTATAAGCTTCTTTAATAAACCTGTAACTGTTTAAGCTTTAACCTGACTCCTTCAGTTGCTGTAACAGAACCAAGCACAATTTAAAAGAACTTCAGCCCGTCATAAGGGACAGATATAGGAAGAGCTGGGCATTTGGATCGTGTCGCTTCCAGGGGACAGATCCGTAGGGGCATCTCTCAGCCTTCCCTAGGTTGCCCGGTGTGAAGGGATCCTGTATCCTAGCAGTTAAAATCTGAGATGTAATAAGAGCTTGGGCGTTTGGATCGTGTCACTCCCAGGTGACAGATCCGTTGGGGCATCTCTCAGTCTTCCCTAGACTGCCCGTTGCGAAGGGATCCTGTATCCTAGCAGCTGAAATCTGAGGTGTAATAAGCTCTTCCTATAAACTCTGGGGCGTCTGTCAGCCTGTTGGCTGCCCTCCGCGATGGGACCCCGGTCCTAGCAGTACAGGCACTGACGTTAAACCTTTTCTCGGTCACACACACACACACACACACACACACTGTCCTGAGCGTCGGCTGACATTGCTCTTCTCTGGACCCTCTCCAATTTCACCACATCTTTCTTGAAATACGGTGCCCGGAACCAGAGGCCTGCCCAGTGCTCCCTCTTGAGGAGACTGAGGCTTGGCCCAGGCCTCCCAGTGTGGCTGCCCTGGAGAACCTGCCTGAACCCCAACCCCCACCTGAATCCTGGGACCGTGCGAGCTCACCGGACCTGCAAGGCCCACCAGATGAGCTGGACCCTGAGGCCCAACAAGACCCCCAAGGACCAGCCTGAGGCCAAGGACCAGCCAGCCCGCCGCCGCCTGCTGTTGTCAGCACACTCGCTGAAGCCACTGGACTTGGAAGTGGCTGAGGCCTGGGTAGGACCGCCAGGACCCTGGCTAGAGGAGACCACCCTGGACTCCCCATGAGACCTGTGTGTGTTTGCTGCCATGCCTGGAACCAGGCCTGGGCTTCCTAAACTGCTAGACTAGTGTGCTGCCCCGCCCTGGCCTAGGGCCAGGGTTCTCTGAATTGGTTAATTATTGCCACCCTGCCTGAATCAAGGCCTGAGTCTGCGAACTAACTGTGCTCGTTGCCAGCCCTGAGCCAGGGCTAGGCCCTTATACTGACTCGGTTTGTTTACTGCCCGCCCTGTACCAGGGTGAGGGCTCCTGAACTATTGGCCTCTCGCCCCGACCTGAAGCAAGGCCGGGGGTTGAACAATTTGCTTCTCACCCTGACCTGAAGCAAGGTCGGGTTAACGAACTGCTGACTTGGGAACTATTTGAAGTGTTTGTGCAGTGAGGTGGACTGGCTGCCCACTGACCCAGAGATGTAGGTACCCCTCCAGGAGACCTACCCGACTTATCGGGTGAATAAAGAAAAGTTATTTACTTGTTCCCATAATAGAAGAACTAGAGGACACCACATGAAATTAACGGGTAGCAGGTTTAAAACTAATCAAAGAAAGTTCTCCTTCACACAGCGCATAGTCAACCTGTGGAACTCCTTGCCAGAGGAGGCAGTGAAGGCTAGGACTATAACACAATTTAAAAAAGAGCTAGATAAGTTCATGGAGGTTAGGTCCATACACACACACATGCACACCCTGCCCAATGTGGTCTCCACTCCAGCCGCAGAGCTCCAAGTGTGCCCCGGCCAACCCATACCGGGACATCCTGAGGGCTGGGATAAACAAGGGCCAGGTACACACCAGTGGGACAAGTTTCCTTTAGTTCTGGGAGCTTGGTGAACGGGTTTTATTCACTTTCCGTCTGTTAAGCCCTGTTTCTTGAATTCAGGGGTGGGGAACCTAGGGCCAGGCACCTATTGTGGTGGGACCTGGCCCAAGCTGGACCTGCACCAGGTCCCCCATAATCCCTGAGGTTTTATCCCTAAGCGGCCGGGGCTTGGGAGAAGGGGAGCAATTGTGGAAGCAGGAGGTGCCGGGGTATGAAAAGGCAGCATGGGGCTGCAAAAAGGACAGAATTTGGGGGAAGGGTGTGGGCACCCCCACACACAACCATGCCTGCAAGGACACCAGGCGCACACATCCCACAGTCCGAATTGTGGAACTTCTCTGGCCACAGATGTCCCATGGGCTGTGAGTTTGAGACCCCAGATGTCACCCTATATTGGTAGCATTTCATATCAGACTTTCTATGGCTTTGGCTAGTGTCGGTCTCAGTCTAACAACCTGGGTTTCTCTCTTTTAAATATTGGTGCCTTCATTTTGGTTTGTTTTCGCCATTCCTCTGGGACTTCCCCAGGACTTTTAAACCTATCAGGGGACGAGATTCCCCATTCTACAGATCTATGAGTATTGAACTTCAATAGACTTTACAGAGACTGCGCTCAGGTCTGGCCAAGCCCTGACTTGGTGTTTCAGTTGATCATAATTACCTTTACAACAGTCAATACAATCATTTGCATTAGTTCTGTTCCCGATAATTTTAGGCATCGATGTTGTTAGCACTTGCGTTAAAAAGCCGCTAAGATTCTACTGTATGTTCATTTATGCCGTGGCTGTTTCATCTAAAATGCTATTTGAAGTATAACAACATACATATGGGTACATTTTATTACCTTAGATCAGTGGTCTCCAACCTTTTTACACCCAAGATCACGTTTTAAATGACAGACCGAGCCAAGATCTACCGCTCCGCCCCTCTGTCCTTCGGGGATTGTCCGTGGATTATTGAAAATTAAAAGTCTTGTTTAGAAAGTGACGAGTCACAGTGCATAACCAGCATTGCTCCAGATTTGCATGTGCAAGTTTTTTAGATAGTAGGAATGAGTATTCATCACCCATGCAAAGTTTTATAGAGTTAGTCGCAGATGGGGACTGGCCCTCATTTTTTCGATATCTGGGGTAGGCTCTCTGTAGGCAGTTAAGGAAGAACACGGGCTACTTCCCTGACTGTGTCCTTTATCGGCAGTCCTGCTCACAAGTCTTCCAAATTTTCAACTATATTAATAACCTTCAGGAATGTGTTCATCCCTGTGACTCACACATGGCTTGCAAATGACTTCACGTCGTACCAAATGCCTTTCTCAAGGCTTCCTTCACTTCTTTGTTTCTTAATGTGTAAATGAAAGGGTTTAATAGCGGCGTGACAACCGTGCTAAAGATGTTGATCGTTTTATTGGCATCCAGTGAGTTCTGCGCAGAAGGCTTGACATACAGAAAAGTGATTGAGCCGTACCAGAGCATCACGACGGTGAGGTGGGCGGAGCATGTAGAAAAGGCTTTTTGCCGGCCTTGGGCTGAGGGGATGCTCATGATTGTGTAAATGATATAGAAGTAGGAGATGAGGGTTATCACGCATGAGACCACAACAACAACAATTGAGACGATGAACGTGACCAACTCAACGAGACGCGTGTCCGTACATGACAGCACGATCCAGGAATCTATGTCGCATACAAAATGGTTGATGACGTTGGGGCCACAGAAAGACAGCCTGGATAGTAGAGAAGCCAGCACAGAGAGAGCCAGGAACCCACCCAGCCAAGAGGCCAGGGCCAACTGAGCAGAGAAGATGCTGCTCATGAGGGCGCTGTAACGCAAGGGGTGGCATATGGCCAGATAGCGGTCGTAGGCCATGACGGCCAGGAGGAAACATTCTGTAGAGCCCAAAGAGAGGAAAAAGAACAACTGCAGGAGGCAGGCAGTGAAGGAGATGGTTTGGCTTGTGCCCAGCATGACGCCGATAGCTTTGGGGACACAGGTGGTGGTGAAACAGATCTCCAGGAAGGAGAGATTGCAGAGAAAGAAGTACATGGGTGTGTGCAATGGTGGGTGAGTCCACACTAACATTATGATGGACACATTCCCAAGGATGGTTAGGCTGTACATCACAGCAAACAGCACAGCGAGGGACATCCGGAAATGCCAAGCGCCGGGAAAGCCCAGTAAGAGGAACTCCTGCACGCTGGTCTGGTTTCCTCTTTCTCCACTTGCCAGGAGGTCCATCTGGGAAGATGGGAGAGAATGCTAGAGGCAGGCAGTTAAAATGCTGAGCTCACCTGGAGATGCTGCACAGTTTTGAATGTTCAACCACCCCCTTGTAACACCTTGTCCTGTTGTTTGGACTAGCACTGGCCATGTCTGGGTGATGTGCCAATTTGTGGCCATTTGTGGTGCGACGCTAACGTGGAGTAGGTGACCACGTGTGCACTTGTATTGCTCACTAAACTGTTCCCATTTGTATACTCCTGATCCAAAATACCGTGCATTGACATCACGATACACACTTAAGTTCTGTTTACATGGCACATGTCTTTTGGCAGTATGTCTGGTCCATACACAGCTCACTCCCAAAGCATGGTTTTAAATAATTATATAGATGGTGTGGCACTTCTCCGTGAAAACGTGCCTGATCCTCGTGGGTATGTACCCAAGTAGGTACCAGACATTGCTTTCTACTCCCCTAAGTCATGCCTCTCCCATGCACAATCCTAGAACACTAGAACTGGAAGGGACCTCGAGAGGTCATCAAGTCCAGTCCCCTGCCCCCAAGGCAGAACCAAACTGACAGTGCTAGGGTCAGTGCTGCTTACCAGCTGGGAGGTAATAGGTAGCAGGTTTAACACAAACATAATGAAGTATAACTTCACACAACTCACAACCAACCTGTGGAACTCCTTGCCAGAGGAGATAGTGAAAACCAGAAATTTAACAGGGTTCAAAAAAGAGCTAAATAAATTCATGGAGGTTAGGTCCATCAATGACTATTATCTGGGATGGGCAGGACTGGACTCCCTTAGCTTCTGTGTGTCAGAAGCTGGGAAGGGATGGGCAGGACTGGACTCCCTTAACTTCTGTGTGTCAGAAGCTGGGAATGGGTGACAGGGGAGGGATCACGTCATGATTTCCTGTTTTGTTCACTCCCTCTGGTGAAGTCTGCACATTGCCAAAGCCTTTCACTGCCACACATATTTGCAAACCACAGCATGGATGCAGCCTCATCTTTGCAAATCTGTTCCCCGGGAGCCTAATTGTCACTGAAAGTCTGTTATTTAGGGTCTTCACCCACTGAGGTGCTCCTGAAAATGTCCCATTCTTTGTTGTTCAAAGATGAGCGATCCTCAACCCCAGATTCCTGAATCTCCCCTCTATTCATGCTACAATCGCTCCTAGAGAGCTCACCTCAGATCAGGGATCCATCAGGAATACCGTAGAACCAGAGTAAAATAAAGACCCGGCCCTAAAGAGAGATTAGGTCGAACATTTCTCCTCTAGCTCCCTTTGTCGACAGAAGGATGCAAATCAAGCACATTGAAATTGCTAATGAATACGGGATTTAAATATCCCGTGCCTCATTAGCATAAACATGGCTGCCACTTTTTTCGAAACGGAGTTTAAAAAAAAACAAACCGGCAGTCTAGATGCGGATTTGTCAAAAATAAACCCTTTTTTGACAGATCCTGTAAACCTCATTTTTTCAAGAATACAGGATCTGTCTAAAAAGGCTTTATTTTCAACAGATCTGCATCTAGACCGCCATTTTTTTTTCAAAAAAACTCCGTATTGAAAAAAAGCAGTGGCCATTTTTATGCTAATGAAATTTGGGATATTTAAATCCCGGCTTCATTAGCAATTTTGATGTGCCTAATCTACATCTCTCTGTCGACAGAGAGGTGTAGTCTAGTCACACCCTTTGAGAAGGAAATCCAGGCTTATCAAGTAAAGGAACAAAATTCACAGGAAGAGTTTGCTTTGCATCACCAATGAAACCAAGTTGTTTCATTTTCACGTTTTCAGCTTATTCTTTTCTCTTCTTTGCTGCCCATCATCCATGACCCCAGGGGGAATATATATATATGGAGATATACCTATCTCAGGCTATGTCTAGACTGCAAGCCTCTTTCGAAAGAGAGCGTCTAGACTGCACGTTGAACTTTCGAAAAAGCGGCTTGCTTTTTTGAAAGAAAGCATCCAGTGAGTCTGGATGCTCTCTTTCGAAGAAGCCCTATTTACATTGAAGAACTCCTTCTTTCGAAAGAGGAACTTTCGAAAGAAGGCGTTCTTCCTCGTGAAATGAGGTTTACCGCCATCGAAAGAAAAGCCGTGTTCTTTCGATTTAATTTCGAAAGAACGCGGCTGCAGTCTAGACGCAGGTGAGGTTTTTTCGAAAAAAGGCTACTTTTTTCGAAAAAACCCCTGAGTCTGGACACAGCCTCATAGACCTGGAAGGGAACTTGAGAGGTCATCGAGTCCAGTCCCCTGTCCTCATGGCAGGACCAAGTACCATGTTATAGCAAAGATGAAATCTGGTATAGCTACATGAGGCTTAAGTCAACACACAGACCACTACTCAGGATTCTATGTCAGAAAAAACCTGATGGACAATGAAGCTTCAGAAGGGTAGCCGAGTTAGTTTGTAACAGGAAAAACATTAAAAAACCAGCAAATAGTCTTTAAGGTGCTACTAGACTAACTAAGCATATAAATGAGATCAAGAGCTATTGTGGGCACAACTCACTTCTTCAGATGACTGGAGTATTAGAAGTCTAGATCCAAGAATAAATAACGGACAGGGGAGGGGAAAAAAGAGAGAAAAGAAGAAAAAAGAGAGTGAGTAAATTGTTCAAGTTACAAGAGGCTGATAAGAACATTTAGCACCTCCATTGTTTGGGTGGTTGGTTGAATCTTTAGGATGTGAAAGGTAGTGTGGGAGCCGTTCATTCCGTTTGCATAAGAATTAAACTTGTAAATGAAATTAAGTTCCAGCCCTCTCCTGTGTAGTGGCTTGTAGAATTGGCCTGAACAACAGGGTGTCTTGGAGAACAATTTCACCTGCCCGGGCAGGTAAAATTGTTCTCCAACAGGTTTCTGTTTTTTACCTTTTTGAATATCTGATTTGTCCATTAATTCCGTCCCGTAGAGACTGTCCAGTTTGGCCAATATACAAAGCAGTGGGGCATTACTGGCATAGATCGCATTAGTGGCTGTGCAGTTAAATGAGCCCCTGATGTAGTGGCTGATGTTGTTGGGTCAGTGATGAAATTGCTTGTGTGTTGATGTGTGGGCAGAGTTGGCACTGGGACTGATTATCTCTAAGGTGCTACCAGATTATTCTAGTTGTTTTATAATTTTTTCATGATGGATAATAGCTGCAACGGAACAAGAAGTAGGATGTTGACGGGGGCAGCAGAGCTAGGAATCCATCCAACCAAGAGACAGGGGCTGGTCACAGAAGATACTGTTCATGAGACCTGTAACAGAATGGGTGACCCATGGGCTGACAGTGGTCATAGGCCATGGCAGCCAGAAGGAACCAACCTTATCAAGAGGAGACTGAAGAGACAACGGAGGGATGCAGATAGGGAAGTGTAGTAATAAGAGGACCTGATAATGGAGGTCTGGTGTGAGGCCTAAGGCCTGAACAACAATCAATGCTTTGCTACCATAAAGCAAAGCTAAGTTGTGAGCAAAGGCAGGTCCTGCTCATGGACACTTGCCAAGGACAGGGCTGCTGATATTACAGAAACACACACACCTAGGAGGTACTAGGCACAGGCCATGCACGTAAATATCCCAGGAGGATGATAACAGAACCTCTCGCTGCAGAAACAGCTCGGTACCAGCACACTCCTCATAGATAACTGGGACATACCGACCCAGGTTCAGTTCAGGGTTGGGACAACACCATGACGGATAGGGATGTTTTGATGGAACCACCATGTACAAAGTAATGGGAGGTATCTCAGTACGTCAGGGGCTGTCAACCAAATACATTTAAGGATGGCACCTTGATACGTAAGTGATGTGTGACTTGTTTGTCTCTGTGTGTAAAGGTGTATCTGAGAGAGGCTGTCCAGTTGAGGGAATAGCAGAAACTCCTGGCCGCTAACTAAGCTGAGTCCATTGCCAGGGCTTGCATATGTGCTCGTGTAAACTGTTGACGTCTGGTCTAGATACTCAGGATGCTAAAGACCGTAAGTCATTTGACAATAAACCTGGTTCCAGCGCCTTCGCATCTGGTCTGATTTGTGGTCATTGGGGGCTCTTAGAAGTCTGCGGTGTTGGCTACCTGTGCAGAGCCTGCACAGCATTCAGAAAGAGCACACACATGACACGCAGCCGAATGGATATCAACACCGAAGGGAGCAGAACAGATGCCAGAGCACCACACTGGTGGTGGTGTCTGATAAGAGGAAGAAGTTTTGGCTTCTCCCAAGCATGAAACCAAGACCGTTGGAGACACCTACTGGGGTGTACCAGTTGGCTGATGAATGGTGGTCTCCACCATTCTGTCTTTTGATGACAGCATTTTTGAGAGGTCTCCTGTTCTTTCCATCCCACACCAAAACCCAATGTGAAACACTTTGATTATATCTCACATGAAATTCTTGTTTTGCCAACCGTCGTTTTCTTAGGCTCTTTAGAAAACTTCTCCCAACTCTTCGGGAACAAGAAATCAAGATTAGGAATTAGACACTATGTTTAAGATTTACTGTGTTGGCTACGTCTACACTGGCATGATTTTCCGAAAATGCTTTTAACTTTTCCGTTAAAAGCATTTTCGGAAAATCACGTCTAGATTAGCAGGACGCTTTTCTGCAAAAGCACTTTTTGCGGAAAAGCGTCCGTGGCCAATCTAGAGGCGGGTTTTTTTTAAAAAAACGGGCTTTTTTGCGGAAAACAGTCCTGTGCTGTTTACACTGGCCCTCTTGCGCAAATGATTTGCGCAAGAGGGCTTTTGCCCGACCGGGAGCAGCACAATATTTCCACAAGGACACTGAATTTCCACAAGAACACTGACGATCTCATGTAAGATCATCAAACGGCCAGTGTAGACAGCTGGCAAGTTTTTCCACAAAATCAAATGATTTTGCAGAAAAACTTGCCAGTCTAGACACAGCCTGTGTGTCTCTTCTGGCTGAACCTTAAGGTCACAGCTAGGGCCGGGAGCCCTTTATGCCCGAAGCAACACACACATAGCCTAGAAGATCACCCCTCTTCTAAAA